CCCTGTTGCGGGGCGGCCAAATCGGTGTCGCAACTTCGGACGAAGGTCCACCGTCCCATGAAACTCGACTCAAATCTGCATTAGGACTGCGTTCTACGAACGCAATATTGTATAAATAAAAGCGAAACCCGTCGTTCGAATTCTCCTCAAATTTCTTCTCTGTTGATCGTGGAAAAAATTTTTATCACGACTTGCAACATAATTTGAAAATTCATACAGCCTATCAATTTAATTTGTGATTTTCAATATGTCCTCAGTTTTTGGCAATTGAGTATGGTTGAACCTGGATAAGCGGACATCTTCGGGAAATGAGCTATTTATGTCATTAGTTTCTACATATAAAGCAGTCGTGCGAAAATCTATTCAATACAAATCATTTCTGCGGTAAGATATCGAGTACTTGAGTCAGAAAATCACAGAATAACTTATTTGACACGGTGCAATCAACTGTAAAACGGCCCTGATCAGTGCGATGTTCGAACCCGGGTGGGGGAGGGAGGATCCTATATGAAAAGGTCGGGGATGCTTGTCGTCTCGGTTGCAAATCAAGGGTTCTTGTCTCACTTAGGGTGTTGATAACGAAACGTCACCATTCTTAGCTTTCAAAGTATCTTTTAGGGTGCACTCGAAGAAATAACAGTAAAGTAAACGTTGCCATTTGTTTACTGCTGATCTCTCGAGTACGCGAGTCGGGTCTACAAGTGCGCGCGAGATCCCTTCTTGAACAGTGGCGAGTAATCGAACCTATGTCGTGTTAAGTGGTAATTTTTTGGGGGTCTAATGAAGCTCGAGCAACTCCCACATTAGTCTTCTTTAGGAGTTAAATTCAAATCAGTTTCCGAGCAGCATCCCTGACCTTCTCATATGAGAGTTTCTCTTCCCCGGATTCAAAATGTCCAACAGGAAGTGAAGGATTGAAGGAGTGAAGGAGTTATGGAGTAAAATRGTCARACCATTACAACTTGGAAAATATAAATTTCAAAGAATAATACAATGTCTAAAAGTGTCACTCATTGATCAGACAACTAAGATTGAAAAGTCTATTTTCATTTTCGTAAACAAACGTGTGTCAATATGATTGAAACGCAAACACAGTCTCTTCTTCGGTTTAGTTCTAGAAGTCCGGTCTCTTGCCATTAGTGTTTACTAGTTGAGGTTGAGCATACCGTGATCTTACAAATTTTCTAAACAGCTGGAAGAGCTGCGACGGCGCCACGCAGTTAGTAGTTTTTTTCTAAATTTATGGTTTTTCATCTTGAAATAATTTTTCAATGAGCTGGGCCTTATTATTAGAGACTAAAGCCGCTATGTAATGACCTTGTAAGATCGTAAGGCCGTGAGGTTCGGCTACTTCCGTAGATAAGGGAGTTTAAGTGAGCACGATGGCGACCCCGACGACAACGTCGATTAAAAAAA